CTTTACTATCCCTTTTTTTTAATCAATTTAACACATCCTTGCTGAATTATTTCTTTAGTATTAATTTCTTTCAAAAAAAAAAAAAGAAGAAGAAAAAAAAGTTGACTTTTTTAGAAACTTCAGAAAGGTGTGTTATATTGTTACAAAATATAAAAAAGCGTATATTGTTACAAAATATTCTGTTATAGATTTCTATAGTACTGTTTTTTTTCTGTATTTTTGATCAAATAAATGCAGCCTTACTCTGCTCCTACACACACACACACTGTGTGTATCTTATATCTAATTATCTTATATTTGACTAAATATATATGTATCTAAAGAATATATATATATACATATATATATATATATATATATATATTGATGTGGAGTAGGACTCCGCCCCTTACCTGGACCCTTCCTTCCTGACCACTGCCCTTCCCTGCACGAAGCCCGCAGCACGACGAGGACACCAGATCCGCTGTTTTATTTTGGACACTTGATTCCCCTTTTTCCTGGACACTTTTGTTATATTATTTTGTTAATAAAAGCCTCTCCGAGGCCTGACACCACCCCCACTGTGTCTGTCGTTTGGTCGTCCCGTGACTATATATATATATATATAGGGACCAATTACCAATTCTCACTATTAACTAGTTGCTTTTTTTAAGCATGCCTGTTATTAACATACTGGCTGTTTATTAGTACTTATAAAGCACATATTCTGACCATATTCTACATCTCTACACCACCCCCACTGTGTCTGTCGTTTGGTCGTCCCGTGACTATATATATATATAGGGACCAATTACCAATTCTCACTATTAACTAGTTGCTTTTTTTAAGCATGCCTGTTATTAACATACTGGCTGTTTATTAGTACTTATAAAGCACATATTCTGACCATATTCTACATCTCTAATCCTACCCAATACCTAAACTTAACAACTACCTAACTAACTATTAATAAGCAGCAAATTAGGAGTTTATTGAGGCATAAGTTGTAGCTAATGATTTTTTAATAGTGAGAATTGGATCTTAAAATAAAGTGTGACCACATTTTTATATATTATAAAAAAAATGGATATCATTTTTATTTTTACAATTATTTTATAACTTTTTAATTTTAGTCACATATATAGTATTTATACATTATTATTGCTTTTTATTTAAAATATTTATATTTAAAATACAAATTAAACATATTTAAAATGTATTAAAACTATACTGTTTACAAATTTTATTTAAGTTTTAAAATTTCCTTGTGATATTATTTCAGTGTTTGCCATTTAAAATCAAACCTGCAGTGATGATGTCATAATTACTTATGAATAATGAATTGTGATTTGTCTACTTTCTTGCATTTATCTGCATACTGAATTGTTATTGGTCTCTTTTTTTTCTTGCATCTATTTAACCATTTAGCTGCCTTTCCACTGGAAAAAAAAAAGTTATTTATTTTTGTGCACAGCTGACAGAACACAAGACACATATTGAGTGTCATAATGGTTATAAAAATCATTTCATTTACACAAAACCACATAGTAAAACCCAGCACTAGGACTTTCTTCAAATCTAGCTCTTTTGTTAAAGTAAAACTTTACCAATTCTTTTAATGCATATCCCAGCACAAGTATTTCCTTCAAATGTAGTCCTTTCATTCTAGAATTCCTTCATCCCTTTTTTTCCGCCATGTACGTAGTGTTTAGTTTGCGTTCTGCATTGCGATGGGAACGGTGGGCGAGGCTAATCATTCTTTAGCTGTTCTGGCCTTAGAAAGGTCAGCTGTTTGAAATGTCAGGCTTCAATGGAGCCAGATTCACATCGTGCTGCTCAAGTGTCCAATTAAAGAGGGTCTGGCAGGGGTTGAGTGGGAAGCACTCTTCACACAGGAGAGCTAATGAGGGGGCCAGGGCCTCTCGGCACTGATCTACAGGGCCTCATGCAGAGCGGCAGGTTCCAACACTCTGTGTACTCCGAAAAGACCTCCAAGGGCACCGGGAAGGACACGGCTTGATCTCATTAAGGTCTATGGATACATGTATGTTAATTTTTATCATCCCTCTCTCACATATACACACACCTATGTAATATGTGGATAGGTCAGTGCGTCCTGTTGCTGTATCTGCCTCAGTCATCAAAGAATGCAAGCTGCTTTCCATATAGCAGGAAAACAAGTTTCCGTCACACTCTGCATGGACAAACACAGGTCAGAGGTCAGTGTAGTCGCATATACACTTTCCACACAGAATCCTAATAAGCAGCCGGGCTGAGGGAAGACAGGGACGGACAAGCTCATTTACAGCGGCGATTCTTCATTTACAGCAACTAAAATACCCCGTTCACCTCATCAATAAGTCATTAGGCCCATCTGTAGCCCAGTGATCTACTACCGGTTTATTAGTTGTTCTTTCAACGGTTAGTTTTAATAACTGCATTCGGGGAGTTCTAGATCAGCAAAAAGTGCAACGGCTCTCCAGAGCCCCTCTGCAGTCTGCTTGTGCACAATTGTGGAGTTTTTATGGAGAAAAAGTAGATTTTACTGCACGCTGAAATCAGCAAAATTACCCTCCCAAAATGGCAAGGGCTATAGAGTGGGGGGGGGGGAAAGTCACTTTCATTATATAAGCCGAAACGAGGTAAGCTAAAAACCATGTTGCACTGTGCATGTCTTTTGTGAAGTTGTGAAGGTCAGCGGTACAGTCTTGTGTGGCTTTGGGTAACAGATGCTGAGCAAAGCTGGGAAAATTAGCCTACTCCACGTGCCTTACATAAACATTATTTTAATCAAAGTGTATTAGAGCAGCCAGATATTTTAGACATATGGGGGCTGCATCCTTCCTGGCTACCCCATCTGTCTCTCCCAGAGCTCTGAATGCAGTTTCAGCTTTCACCCAGATGCATTGACAAAACATTCAGCTTCCCATAGAGACGCAGAAGCGTAGGCTGTACCCGCTGCTCTGGGACAGGCACGGCCAGGGTGCTACAACAGGATCGCGGAAATGCTGACAAGTCGCAGGAAAAGGCCTCTTTTTGCAGGTTTTTGCTCTTGGGGTGCAGCTGATGCTTGTTGTGAGAAGTAAGAGAAGTCACAAAGCCCTCACAACCAACACTTGTGAACAAACAATCCTGTCCGTAAAGCCCCATGTAAGTATTCAGTGTTGTTGCATGGTGTGCTGTGCAGTGAATAACAAACACGCATGCACACAAACCAAAATGCGTATACTCACCGGGGTTGGTGATGGTCAGAAGATCCAGCCTTCGTTGTTGCTGAAAAAGAAACAAAGAGACTTCAGAGGTCTTCTGTCAGAAAGATGAAACAGATCCAGTCTGAGACATTTTTTCTTTTTTACTCAGAAATCAAAGTTTGTGCTGTCTGCCTGTTAAGCACATTTTGCTCTCTATCTCTCTCTGGAGACATAAAAGTGTGTCATGCATTTTACATCAATTTTATGTAAATATATGTACATATACAGAGCATATATATCACTCTACGAAACAGAATCGTTCTAAACTGATCTAAGCAAACAAACAAAAAAAATCACTGTATTTCTACAGTAAAAAAACAATGTATTTCTACGGACATGTTTGTTGTAGAAAAAGTACATAGAAAAGGATAGATTTTTTAGCAATAATATATACATCTTTCAAGTCCTACATTGAGCTCCAAGGTAAAAATTTAAATGTGTTTAATAGCTGAATTCCCAGTTAAAAAGTATATTACCCAGAATTCTTATGAGTGATCCACCAATCAGAGATTTTTTTTTTTACCATGGAATTTTAAAATTATTCTTATTAAAATCTCCAGAGAACAAAATTACCGGAAAAATGCTCTCTGAACCAAGATATCATATCATTTCATATTTAATATACGTTAATACATTCTATATTAATTATATATAATATTCGTTTTTTTATTATAACACACACACACACACACACACACAGTATATGTATGTATGTGTGTATGTGTGTGTGTATTTGTGACCCTCTCTGTGAAGTCCAGGTTAAAAACTCAAAATCTAATTATGAGATAACAAGCATCAAAGTTTGATTTCAACCATTAATTGGACTATGATTTAAATCTTTGACATGGTTTTACCTAGGCAGTATTAAAGATATCAAGCTTACATTTTCACAGAATGTTCTTTACCTTACGAAGGATGATTTTATGTGGAAAATAGTAAATCACCAAAAAATTACTTTAGCTGGGATTTCACAGCCAGGGTCACACACACACATATATATATAGCTTTCGTTCTTTTGTCTGTACACACTCTCTCTCTGTCTTTGTCTTTTTTGATACTTCTTGTCCTGATACGATACTTCTCCAATACTGGTGTGTGTGTTTGTGTACATAATTCATTGCGTTTTGTGAGTTATGTATTCATGTGCTGCAGCAGATCCTGGAGAGAGGGCGTGACAGAGGCTACAGCAATCCACACAGGTCACTCTCTCAGATCGATAAGTGCCCAATCAAAGACTGATGGCGTCCTCAATGGCACGCTGCAGTGTGAGGCGGACACACATAACACACATACTGTGAGGCCAGGCAGCTCAAGAGCTGTACTTTAACACTCTTGTGGTAACAGTACTGCAGGTCATTCTACATGAGAGCCACTACACGCATAGTAGAGCAGAGAGCATACACTGATATCATTCACGCACACACACAGCTCTGCTTTTCAGTGTCTGGTCATTTCCTGACGATTAGCAATTATCCAGTGAAGCCACAGGGCTTTAACTTGATTTTGAATTCATAAAATGTTCCTTTTTTTGGTGGCTCTCTGAGAAGCTAAGTTTGAAAATATGAAAAGAGAGTTAGTGAATCAGTTTTAATGAACAGTCACTGTGTTTGTTGTGTTATGCATTGTGCTTGTTAGCAATATGCATTTAGCATTACGTCTTTTATTGGGGCCATTTGACTTATATATTATGTGCATTTTCTATCTGCTAACAATAATTTAAAACAGTATAATTTATGCATAAAATATGCTGGCGCCTGTCAAAAAAGTATGTTTTAATGTGTTGTTTATGCGATAATTGGAAGATATGAGTCGTGACTCATAGGTGCTAACTCTTACTGAGCATTTTCTTTCGCAAAGTAATAAAAAGCTCGTTTAAAGTGTGCATATAGTGTAATATAATACTAGTTGACGTTAAAGAGTAATTGTAGAAGGTTTTGTTTTGACAAACTCCTGGAATGATGTCCATTGTTTTATTTTCCAAATTGCCCCCTGCTGGTGAATGAGACAAATACAACACAATTCAGCTCATTTTCTGAGCAGATCCTAAGAACAGGGAAAGTAAAACGGAAAGAGATGCACTGCATTGCATACTTTAACATTTAAGATCATTTCAATACAAAGGTTTGTTTTGCCTTTTAAACACTAGTTAACTTGCAATATATGTGCATACATTTACATATCAGAGTCATGGGATCAGAAAGTCAATATCATTGCTCTAAAATGTTGTCTACTGCCTCCTAACTGAAATGAAACCACCGTACAAATACCACTCCTCTCACAAAGTGCACAAGATTTACAAATTATACAGTTTGTGTCTTTGTTTATAAACTATTTCTTTACTGGTAGACTTAAAAAATAGGGTGAAAAAATTTAAGTATTGAATGAAATTAAGTATATGTATTGTCAATATGTCTTCGAATTAGGGGTGTGCGATATATATCGTCTGCGATAATATCGTAATTGTTGTTTTAACGATGTGCGATTTGACATTATCGAGTATTTTGCAAAAACCATTCAAAACATCCCTACAGAGCGCACGCATACATTACGTGAAGCCTAGACTAGTGCGTGTGCGCATTTAGTGTTTTCTTTCACTGCATGATTCAGTCTATTAAAATGCATTTAGAATGATCACAAATTCAAGACATGATGGCAGAAAATTTATATATTTATACCACTTCATATAGTTATTCAATTTCACACGAAGAGTGCCGTTTTTCTCCAAAAATTACCATGATTACAAATGTGACATTGAATTAAATAAACAATAAGTTAATTAAGAGACTTACGTTTTAGTAACACACCATATTGCTTGTTTTTGCTCTATTTCGCCAACAAAAATCATTCCGAATACAACCACAGCGCTGGTTTGTGTCTCCGAGCAATATGACGGTGTTTCGTTCTTGAATGAATCAACCGTTTAATAGAAGAAAAAATGTTATTATTGTCCTCCAAAGTTTAATATTAACTATCTAAAAATGTATATTTATATACTGTTATGTCCTAAGCAGTTGAAGTAATATACGATTTACAAATTAAATATATATTACAATTAATAAATATAATATTTTTATTTTAGTAATACAAAATTTTTTTCCATTATTGCAAGTTTTGCATTGCACATTTTTCTTGATGTATGTCACAGTTTGTGCTCCAACAAGCAGACATTTTTTCCACTGACACCTTTACACTGTTTCATTTTGAATATTTCAAACAAGTTAACTAAACTTCTGCTGAAACTTTTCCTCCCTCGCTTGACCTACATTCAGTCCAAAACTGCAAATAGGCCAGACATCCCAAACTTTCCTCTTAAAATGTCATTAATCTTATCAGGGGTTCCGTACCTTTTCAAAAGAGTCTTAATCTGTGCAAGGTGCAAAACTGCACGACTGCAATTAAGAGGGCTGGCCACCAGACAGACAAAAAAAAATCATTCATTTACTGGACCTTTCGTCTTTTAAACGGAATTAAATATTCATGCACAGCCTCCCTGAAAACCCATTTGCAATATTTCCCCCTGAATTTACTCTTCTTATTTGCGGATGATTATCATGGGTGGGTAACGATCGGGCTGTTATTGAAAAATACACCCAACAATTTGAGTCTCATTTCGCACGCATGTAAGGTCAATATAATGAGATTAACCTGAGCTCCCCCATCTTAACCACTCATTTAAAAATACATATGGAGACTGCAGGCTAAATTATTTGACTTAAAATATCGGATACACAGTAAAGAGAAAGTTATATTAGCAATTTAGAGAGAAGGGAGGCAGACTTTATACATTTACTCGGGGATAAACTCGTTCTCTGCCATAAACTAGCTGATGGTGGGGATATGTCATTAATTATGGACCCCAGCGGACGTTCCTCCCTCTATAAACACACACATGCACAGCCCAGTGGTGATGAGGTAAGGCAGATTAACGCTGGACTATTTAAACCATCTGCCATAGTCCCAGTAGCAGGAGACATCGTCACTGGCATCAATCCCCAAGGACCCCTCTGTCTGACGCCAACCTTCCCATAAAGAGGAAAAAGAGAGAGATGCGAGTGAGTCAACAATCTGACTCACCTCATCTTAGAGAGGGAAACACTCCTGTGTAGGTGAGTCATCTGCGACCAAAACACACATACATTCACTTCTCTACTCTTTCGCTTCCGTCTAGTGCTCGGTTCACCTTTCTCCCCTCTGGGAAGACGCTTCGCTCTTTTATAGCACAGATCTGAGGGATGAGCTCACGATGAGGTCATCTTCCCCTGGGTCTCTCTCTTCACTGAGCACTTACTGTCACGTTCACTGTAACGCTCTTCATCATGCTCTGAATATGGGATGCTTTGTCATGTAAAATACCTCATTGTGTGGCAAAAATTAAAAGCAACAGATACAATGTATTTCAAAACTCTTCATTGGGCCAATTACAGATATACAGCCAATTATAATATCAGCTTATAATAGAGTGGCAGGCCAGGCCAGGCCAATTAATTGGCTGATTGGTGAGATTTTGATCTAAAAGCGTTTCTCTTAATGTTAAATGCATAGTATGAATATTAGTACTAACATCTTAATATATACAATATATTAATAAGTGCTGTCAGATGATTAATCGTGATTAATCGCATCCAAAATAAAAGTTTTTGTTTACATAATATATATGTGTGTACTGTGTACATTTATTATACATATATAACCACACACACATACAGTACATATTTTGAAAATATGTACATGTATTTATATGTATATATTTATATTCATATAATTGATATTATATATAAATATATTAAATATAAACAAAACATATTTTTCTTAAATGTATACATGCATGTGTGTGTATTTGTATATACATAATAAATATGCACAGTATACACACATTTATTATGTAAACAAAAACTTTTATTTTGGATGCGATTAATCATTTGACAGCACTAATATTAATATACAGTGTATATATATATATATAATTTATTTTTCTTTTTTTTTTTAATTGAAAATGGATATGTAATCATATTTGGCATATGT